AATTATGTTCATTTGTTGTATAAGATTTCCATTCAATATTAGAATTCATTATTGATGATGAATCGTTATTTGGATTTCTATTTCACAAAAAAAATAAATAAATAATAATAATAATAAAGAAAGATATATATATAAAATAATATTACTAACCCAGTTTTAATAAAATTTGTCCAATAACGAATTAATTGTCGACTAAAATTTTCTTCATCATTCGAATAATTATAATAACTTGTATTAACATTTCTATGTATTTGACGATGACCACGTGCCAATGGAACACCAAATACATAATCTAATTATTCATAGAAAAAAAAAAATTTCAATAGAACTTTCTCAATCACAGTCATATGTCAGTACTGCAGGTAGGGAGTACCCCTATAACTTACATCTCTGTTCTCAATGGATAATCATGTTTAAAAATAAAAGATAAACTTTATATAATTTTCATTATGAAAAAAAAGAAACAAGTTTTCAATACTACTAAATGTTCATTGCAAAAATCAGTTTGATTAAGAAAGGAAAATTCATCATAACATTTCCAATTGCATTACAATCGTATTGTTTACTCATGAGCTATAGCATTTGTTTTCGAGTCGAGAGACAGATCGAAATAAGTTTTGAATATTCTGAAAAGATTTCGGATTCTTAGCTTATTACTACCGAGATACTGTACTCTTACGGTAGTTTTTAAATGAATGCCGTAGAACAGAAAAACTGATTTTCAAAATGAAAACTTTGCATAGAAACAGGTCTTAACAAGAGTTTCAAGTCTATTGATTTATATGAGCGACATAAAAGACACGACTTTTACCGTAGCTATATCTTAAGATTGGAATTTTTTGTTAAGGGCCCCGTTCAAAAAAGTTAGTTTTCGTCAGAATGGTCAAGATTGAGATAAATACATGGGAAGATAGCCTGTCATTTGCTCTTTCATAAACGATAAAAACTTTTCTTTGATACCTCCTTTTTTCCGAAAAATTTTCAATATTTTTGACGGCCTCTACTCGAAAAACCGCTGGTTTTTTGAAAAACCTAAAAATCTTTTTCGTTCTTTCTCAAAATGGTGGTCGAATGATATATCTCCAGCGAAAGTCAACTACAATACGATATAAAGTCGAATATTTTTTTTTTGTTTGACAGCATCAAAAACTGCAGTACCTATGAGAGCCCTTTTTTTGAAATAGGCTTTGCTTTTATTATATTGAAAAGCGCCTTCCTAATTAGAGCGTCATTTTTTGAGAGCTTTTTTAGTAACCGAACTTGTCAGGATCCTTTTCCCCTTAAAAGATAAGATTAAAAAAAAAGGTCCCTCATAGACACTGCATCCGGACATGCTCTTTCAAACAAAAAAGAAATCAAGTATATATATTGAAGAGCCACTGAGAACTTTTGGAGATGCGATAAGCCATTTTTTGACCCTTATTCAATCCGTATCTCCATTATACGTCATGATAGAAGGGTAAAACTTTTCTCACATGCATCCTATCATAGGTCCAACATATCCTCCAAATATCAGCCTGTTTGGATGTTCCTGGGCTGAGATCAATTTTTGAGGGAGACCCCCTTAAGGCTTGTCTCTATACAAAGTTTTCAGTTGAAATTCAAAAATAATTTTTTCTGGATCAATATCTCGGCAGCAATAAGCTAAGGGTCTAAATTCTTTTCAGGATATTTGGATACATGTAGTCTCGGACTCAAATACGATTTATCAGTTGAAGACCTTTCCTCGGAACCATCTTACTCTCATATAACATTGAGATTGAATTAATTTTCTAAGATCAAACATTAAGATTAGATGATCAAAGTTTTACTGAGGAAAAAAAGGTATCGTACATTTGATGAACAAGAGGATGTAAAAAAATGAGTCAATACTTTGAAAAAAAAATTTTAAAATAATGAGTTAGAATCAGAATTTTATACTCTTTTCGAATCTAGACTCAGGATTTTTCGTAGGAGTTATGCGCGAATTTTTAGAAGATTTGAAAATAAAGTTTATACGGGAGCAATTCCACTAACAAATCCAACAAAGGAAAAACAAACAACAGTATCTCTTCTAGAATTGATTTTCTATTATTTTTCAACGATACTTTCTTTTACTTGACTATTTTCGATTTTTTTATAATCAACATCTAACTCACGAGAAAACTAATAATTAAACTAATGTGTGGGTATGTGTCTTCATTAGGGGTGTCAGTTTCGGGTTCCTAGGAACGGGAACCCACTTGAAAATTCATTTCTGTGCATTTTTGAACACACTACAGTTCATAGACATACTTTTTCTTCCGTTTTGAGACAAGTCTCTCCGGATTTCTGGGTTCCCAGGAACGAGAACCCGCACCGGGTTCCCAGGAACGGGAACCCACACCGAATTCCTAAAAACTGGGAACCGCACCTAAATTTCTATTCTGAACGATTTGAAATAGGGTTCCTCATTCTTAGGAACCCGGGGCGGGTTCCCGTTCCTAGGAATCCGGAACCCGATGTGGGTTCCCGTTCCTGGGAACCCGGAACCCGATGCGGGTTCTCATTCTCGGGAACCCGGAGAGACTTGTCTCAAAATGAAAGAAAAAGTATGTCTATGAACTCTAGTCTGTTCAAAAATGCACAGAAATGAATTTTCAACTGAGTTCCCGTTCCTAGGAACCCGGTACGGGTTCCCGTTCCCAGGAACTCGGGAATCCTGAGTGACTTGTGTAACGGTTTATTTCCTTTCGTGCTTCCTTCTTCCACTTTATTATATGTAAGAATGAATCTATCTCTCCTCTTTCCTTCATGACCTCGCTTTGTTGTCGACAGAAGTCAACAGGTCAAGACAAAGAGGGAAGAAGAGTGATATACAATTGGTGGTGACCTGTCTGGGAGAGAGATATGTTGTGATTCGTCACAACTTGCTCAAAACGAAAGAAAAAGTATGTCTATGAACTCAAGCGCGTTCAAACATGCATAGAAATGAATAACCAAGTGGGTTCCCGTTCCTTGGGAACGGAACCCTTGAGGAACGGGAACCCTGACACCCCTAGTCTTCATACTCAATCATGTCTACCCACACTTGATTATTTTCAAATATATTCACCTAATTCAGCAAAATGTCCAATAACATGTGGTAATGTTTTTAAATGATCACGAAATAAACTTCGTGCTTTAAATGTTGGTCGATGAGAATAAATATATGCATAATTTGATGATGTTTGATTTGATACTTGTGAACGTAAATTTAAACAATGAACCATATGAAAATTAAACATTAAATCAGAAACAAGATCAATATAAAGTTTTAATCGCATAGTTATATTATCTTTTCCTAAATATAAATAAAAATAATTTAGAAAAAATTTTTATATATTATTTTATTACCCGGATATTCATATCGTTTTTTAATTTCATCAATATAACATGTTGCAAATTGAAAATTTGCATTTATATAACGTTCAACATAATCTAATTTTGAAAATTGTTCAAGAACTATATGTGGATCATAATTCCATACTTGTTCAACATGTGTTTTTCTATGAGATTTAATTTCTTCTATATCATCATCATCATCATAAATTTCATCATTTAGATTATCTTGTGTTTTAATTATATCCGGTGGTATAATACCTGTTGAATTACGATGAATAAAACGTTTTTGTCGTGTTTGAAGTCGTTTACCAATTGATGTTGATTGATTATTTAAATCACTATAAAAATGTCCAATATGATATTCAGCAAAATAAAGACCTTCATTTAATGTAACACCTGTTAAAAGATCAATATTTCGATATACATCACTTTGTATAATATTTTCAATTGTATCATTTAAAAAATCATTATCAATAACAGGATATGGATTATCATCAGCTAAGAAAAGAAAAATCATATAGAAATTATGTTCAAAAAAAAAAAAAAGAACAAAGATCAATATATTTTTCATACCAATGCTAAGACTCAAATGAAGACGATAAAAATCTCCTTTATTTTCTTGTAATAATTTAAGAATACATTGAAACATTTCTGTTTCATTTGATTGTTCACAATTAAATTCATGTGATAGACGTTCAATTAATTTTCTTGGTTGATGATTTATACTCCATGGTGCTAAACCAGTTCCTGATTGTGATATAATACGTTTAATCATACCACGACAATATCGACTAGCTAAAAAAAGAAAAGAAATAAATATAAAAAAAAATAAGAATAATTCTACCTGGAATTAACATAACATTTCCAGCACCAGCTGAATGACCAGCTAAAACAATTCGTTCAGGATCACCACCAAATAAATGAGCATTTTCATAGATCCATTCAACAGCTAATAATTGATCCCAAAGACCAAAATTACCTTTTGAAAAACAAAAATGTACAATAGAATGTAGTTTTTTTTTATCTAACAAATTGAACGAATTTCGTCAGTAAAAAATTAATGAAAAGATCGATTAGATAATATTCCTAGTAACAAAATCTATTGCATTATATTTCATATTTTAATTCTACTACTTATTCGAGATAAATTATAAAGTGGCGGACAAAATTTTAAGGTACCTTTTGTTTTTCGATTTTCTCTATCAAAAGCCACTCATGATCGATATCCAAATAGTGATTTCGATAGTTCTCGAAACAGGCTACAACCTTGAGAATTAAAAAAAGCAATTAAGCTCCGCTATTTTAATTTCTATGACAGAAACCATTTTTCCCCAGCGGACGAAATTTTAAGGCACTTTTAATATTTTATTAAATTTTTTTCTATGAAATAATTCTTGAAAACTTTTTTATATACCATTCGATACAGAATTGAACGGGCTATCGATTGGTAAAAATTAACATTTGAAAATGATTAATTATCATTAACTAATATTAATTATATTTAATCAATATTAATTAAAAGTTATAGAAATTTTCCATTTGAATTTCTGACTTTTAAGGACATCATTATAAAGAGTATTGAAAACTAAACAAAATGGTATATAATTGATATAGAAATAATCCATTTTAGTAGAGTATTATACAGTTTATTAAATTTTATTACTAAACTGTACCATTGTCATAGTATGGTGTAATTCACTAGCTCAACTTCAAAACTTAGAATTTAGTGTATTTTATATGTCATCCCATGGGCTTTCGAATGAGACGACTCCGTTTTCTACATGATTTACTAGTCAACCAGTATAATGTTTTTAGTCTTTAAGAGCAATTTTAACGATGTTTTTCAGCTATTTTTCTTGAATGAAACTACACATTAAACTAAAAACGGTGTACTGGTTGACTAGTAAATCATGTAGAAAACGGAGTCGTCTCATTCGAAAGTCCATAGGATGACGTATAAAATACACTAAATTCTAAGTTTTGAAGTTGGGCTAGTGAATTACACCATACTATGATAATAATACAGTTTAGTAGTAAAATTTAATAAACTGTATAATACTCTACTAAAATGGATTATTTCTATATTAATTATATACCATTTTGTTTAGTTTTCAATGCTCTTTATAATGATGTTCTTAAAAGTCGAAAATTCAAACGGAAAATTTCTATAACTTTTAATTAATATTGATTAAATATAATTAATATTAGTTAATGATAATTAATCATTTTCAAATGTTAATTTTTACCAATGGATAGCTCGTTCAATTCGGTATCGAATGGCATATAAAAAAGTTTTCTAGAATTATTTCATAGAAAAAAATTTAATAAAATATTAAAAGTGCCTTAAAATTTTATCTGCTGGGAAAAAATGGTTTCTGTCATAAAAATTAAAATAGCTGAGCTTAATTGCTTTTTTTAATTCTCAAGATTGTAGCCTGTTTCGAGAGCTATCGAAATCACTATTTGGATATCGATCATGCGTGGCTTTTGATAGAGAAAATCGAAAAACAAAAGGTACCTTAAAGTTTTGTCTGCCACTTTGGATGTTTAACAGAATATATAATGTTCGAAAACAAATAAATAAATTGACAAAATAAAATTATGGTGATTATCATATTAATTCAGAGATTTTTGCTGTGTATCTCCTAAGACATTTCGAGAATTTTTTCTTCATTCGTGACGTTTTTAATGAATCTGTCAAAACTAGATAATAATACAACTTTCAACAAACAAGATTTAATTAAGAAAACAACATTCTTTTACTTAATAAGAAAGAAAATATTTCGTCCTTGTTATAAGATCAACAACATTATAAATAGAATATTTTTGTGTAATTCACATATATATATATGAGTGAAAGTTTAAAACGAGATGTTTTTTGGTTTCTGATTATAGATCTTAACAACCGAGATTAAAGGTGTGTTGAATGATATTAATAACAAGGCTTAGAAGTTTCTCGAATCTTCTTTGAAATTAAAATAGTTGGAATATGTTTACCAATATTCTAAATAACGCAGTTTCTGATTTTTGCGCAGATAAATGATTGTATGATAAAAATCAAGGATGATATTTTTAATTTTCTACAACTGTCATATGCCTTACACATATGTATAAGTGGATTCAGTTCTAACTTTCCGTAATAATCTATTTCAATCTTACTGAGTTTATCAAGATATATATACTAGATCATTAAGATCTGCTATAGATATAACGAATGTAGACAACAGACTTATTTGTCCATCATATTGATGATAAGACTAATAACAAATTATGAAAATTTAATATATAAAATTAATACCATGCGAATAGCAACAAGATAAATAAAAAAAAAAGTATAATGTTTGCTGACAATCGATTATCATTAGAAAATAAGTATGATCGTGTACAGATTTTAAACTTTGCATATTTTGTATTAGTATAATGAATCTAACTAAGACATGTGAGTTTCACATTTCAGTCCCAATAGGACTACACTAACAACCTTTTTAATTATTAATGAATGATTCCTAATAAATTCACTACTGCAAGCATCTAAAAATGCTCTTCCGTATTCAATAGAAATATTATCGCATAAAAATTATATATTAGAGTTATTCTCGTGCATATCCGCAATCTGAAGGTAAACGATTTCTTAGCGATGATTTCATCTATTAACAAGACAACGAAATCATTGTCTTAGTCTAAAGAAAATTTCATATATTTTTATAATCCATCACAGATGACTATCAAATATTTCTAATCTCAATGTTTAGATTTATTACATGTGAGATGCTATATCACCAATCATATGCAATGTAAAAAAATTAAAAATTATGATTCTTTAATTGAATATATTTCTAATACCTTTAATTCTATCATCTCCACTAGATAAAAATCCATGATAGTTTAAACGAAAATTCATTGTTACAACAATAATATCACCTTCAATTGCTAGAATACTACCATCAAATAATGAACCACCACCTATTTGATTTGAACCACCATGTGAAAATAACATAATAGCTTTTCGTTTTTCTCCATAACGTAAATCAGCTCGATAGATATTTAATGAAAGACAATTATCATTAAAATTATTTTGCATTACAAATGAACCATATGAAAGATTTTCTGTCATTAATAACGATTGCATACAATAAGGACCATATTTTATTGCACTTTGTAATGAATAATTAAAACGTTTTTTTATTGGTTTTTTAAGTGATCGAGGAATTTCAGCATAATAAATACCAAGAAATTGATCAATATAACGATTATTACGATATTTTATTCGTTTACCATAATAAATACCTGTTGAAGTAATAAGAAATGGTCGTTGTAAAGATGATTTTTTTTGTGAAATTTTATCATACGATGCTAATTTAAATAAATCTTCATCGGTTACATTTATTGTTGAAAAATTAGCTTGTGTTTTAGTTTTTTGACATGTTAATAGTGTACATAATGGTAAAGTTGAATTAAATGATAATTGATTAACAATACTTTCAAATGATGGATAAAGAATAATAGGAGAAGAAGAAGAAGAAGAAGAAGAATATGTAAAATGACTTTGAAATCGGAGAATAAAAAAATACAAAATAAAACTTATTATTTCATCAGACATTATAATAAATTTTTTTTTTTCATAAAATATGATCTAATGAAACTTGAAAAAATAATGTATATTGTTAAGATCAATAGCAATGAAAATGACATTCCCATATATATATATATAAGTATAGGTCTAAAAACAATATCTTAATTCATTTTTAATTCTGTTTATAATTGATTGTTCTCATTGATTGCTTGAGTGAACACCTACAAAGTACATAGAATTGACTCAGATAATAGTAGTGAGACAGACGACAAACCCATTAAACATAAGTACAAGAAGAAATAAAAGAGACAGAACGAGGAAAAAAAAGAAAGTTTGTTCTTCTAGTTAGTTGAGACCTTTTGTTATCGATGCGTAAAGAGAGAGATGGACGATACTCGATTAATATAACAAAAAAAAAAAAAAAATCGTTCCATCATGGAAGATATTCTATGCTATTGGAGAGTTGATGAAAGGTCTCCGAAATGACGAATCATCTATAATCCATTCACGTAATGATGAGTCGACTAATACAAGCATAAATAGCAAAAAAAAAGTCATACGTAAAAGCAAAGAGATAGTCTTGGAAAAAACTGCCACCTGACACTAATCGATTTAATCATGCAAAAAGACAACATACTAATTGATGGACTTTTTAGACTATACAAGTTAGTTAAAAGACTATGATGTTATATTGCTTGATTTGATAACGTCAACACATTCATTTATTCCTAGATATTTTATGCACTAAACATAATGTTAGCTGATAAGTATGGTAAACATATTGATAAATCGATAGTCAAATAAATCTAATAGCTTGTCAGACAAAGTTTGCCTAGTTGTCTTCATCAAATAATATTCATAATTGAATTCTTATTGATAATAGATCATTTGTAGGTTTTCATTCCATTTTTGAAACGAAAATAAAAAAAGAGATTTCAAATTTATTCATTTGACATTTTTTATAGTCAATATATGGCATTTATTTATTTTTAAAATATCATTATTATCTTTGAAGACATGAAAAGAAGAAAAAAAAGAAAGAAATTGTGGAATAGTTTATAAGTATAGAGTAACAAACATCGAGACAACAAACAAAAAGAATATTTGATCAAACAACACTGAAAATATACCTACAAAGCTGTACATCGAAAAGTTATATATATATATATATAAGTTTATATTTTTCCATTCTTGATTTAATGTTTTTTTTAAATGCAGCAAATGAATTAGGTTCTCTTTAACTAGAGCAAGATGCTGATGATGCTGATGATGTTGTTTCAATTAATGTGGAGCACTGTTAATATAGAATTCATGTTTTTTTTTCTGTAAATTATAAATCAAATTTAATAACTTACTTCGGCAAGAAATTTACGTATTTGATTTGTATAATCATGTGAAAGCCATGTTGTATTATGTTGACCATCAGGAAATATAACCATTTGTTTTTTCGAACTTTTACATTCCTAACAGAAACAAAAAAAAAATTAAGTTGTCTATATTCAATTCAAACTTAAATTTTATCTATTTATTCTTCTACAAGAAATAAGATAATTAATCAATTGATCGAAATCGAAATATCGTGTACAATTTAAAAAATTTTGTATAACTTAACTAATTAAATGAATATAAATAATAGTTTGACTAATGAGAAAATAACTTTAACTAATTCATGTCGTTTTCAATTATATTTTGCTTGAATGCTAGAAACATTGTTTTAAGAAGAATCTGAAAAGGATCAGCACTGACAGAACTTTCTCAAGAACTCAGTACTACATCGAAAAACAAGTAGAATAGCAAAACCATTTGAAAGCACTTAAAATATTCTCAACGATAAACTATCCACATATGGATAAAATATCATTAAAAATGATATAGATTACTTGAAGACTTTCTCTTATAAGCAGAATTCATCGGAAAAATATGTCAATAATCTGTGAGAAATTACTTAAACTACTGATGCTGATTAATTCGATATACAATTGATATCAGTGCAGATATTTCTATATTAAATTTTCTTTTTCTTAAAAGAGAAAAAAAAAGAATTCTTTTCAATAATCATTTTTTATTTTCATGTTATATAAAACTATTTAAAAATATTGATACTTTCTAAATAGAATTCAAAAAACAATTACAATTAATCTATAGAAAGAAGAAGAAAAAAAATTGTTATTATTCCTTTTACATAAAAATTTATTCTTAATCTCATAACGATTAATCAATCCTCTAATCTTAATGAATCATCAGATAATTAAAACAAACCTCATGTAATTTTTCCATCATTTGTGGAGGAACTAATTCATCTTGTCCACCAGAAAGAAAAAGTATTGGAGCTTTAATATGACGAATTTTTCCAAGCGATGGATACTATATAAATATACATAAAAAAAAAAACATGAATTTCTTTAAAAATAATAAAAGATATTCATACCACATTTTTATAGCACCAATTAGGTACATAATCAAGTACAGTAACTTGAAATAATCTTTTAGCCATATCAGGTATTGATGTAAAAGTATTTTCAATAACAATACCATATAATGGTGGTGTTGCATTCATTTGAGCAAGATGTGAAGCTAAATAATATTAATAGAATATTCATAAGAAATAGCGAATTTCTTTCTTTTACCAAGATGTAATGCAATAGCACCACCAAGTGAACGACCAAATAAAAAAATTTTTTGTTGATTAAGATCATTACGTTTACGAACATAATTATATACAGCTAAGGCATCTGTATAAAGACCTGTTTCAGATGGTGCACCAGTTGATTTACCATATCCGCGATAATCAAAAAGAAGAATATTTATATTACATGTTCGATATAAAAGATTTGCATTTTGTAAACTAAATCAAAAAAGAAGAATTCTTTTTTTTTCTTTCAATATATTAATCTAAATTTTTTTTTTTTGTTTGCAATTAAAAGAAAAATAAATAGTTTCTTACAAGATTAAAATAGAAACCCTGCGGACTTCTAAAATGTTCAAGCATTCAAAAGTTTTAGGAGGACATTGATGCGGGTACATCATATCACGAATTTGTTAATCTATGATGATGTTCAAATATTTGTTCTTAGATAAAGTAGCGATTACAGAGTATATAGTGGCCATGATCTTAGACTTCGAGAAAAAATGAAAATGATTGCCGGAGACTATTTTTAATTATGAGTATTTAATGTCTGAAGAAACATTTTTTATACACCTATGGTATCTGACCAAGACTAACTTAATAGTATCTGTGAATTTTTGCTGGAAAAACTGGAATTGTTTGAACACAATAGAAGACCTTGGGTTTCTAATACGTCTTTTATATCGATTCTTCTATTTCGGGAAGTAGTTTATATCAATAATATCTGTCACAACCTGTGAGAATCTCTAACGGGTTTGTTTCAGTCTGAATTTATTATCCTATATTTTAATATCCTTTGAGATCGTGTTTCACCAAAAAGTCATTATTATTATATTTGAATTAAATTATAAGCATAAATACTTAGGGGGGATACTAAAGGTGACCGACGTCGGACATAAATTGGTTCAGATTTCTTGACTTTGAAGAATTGCAATCGAATAGTGTCCGTTAATTACATTTTGGCGCAGTAATTTGGCCTCAAAATTTTCTAAAAACAACTATTATCGGCATCAGAATTCAAGACACTTGGATGGTCTTTAAATAGCTTTTCATCTAAACAAGATAGCGACTCGTGTCTTTCAATGTATGATAATCAAAATTCAGGAATATATTTTAATAAGCAAAATCTTTTCTAGGAAAAAATTTGAAGAATCAGTGTTTCAAAATGATCTTTGAAAAACCATGCTGAACTTCTGAAAATTTCCATAAGAGTCTATAGCTTTTTTATTCGAATAGATAATTCATAATTTTCCTTACAAAACTCGATCTGTACAACTGTTTTAGCTTGCAAGGTTTAATAGTATCAAGCAGTTTTCCGAAAATATTTATTTTCTTTTCCATAGTAACATTTTTATTTATCGTACTCGATCATAATTAATATATGCTGTTTCTGTAAGGAAAAAAATGCTCTTATGATGATCTATGTACTCTTCTCGCTTGACTACAATACAAAATATGTAGAAAAATAGTTTTCTACTTAACAAGAACAGACACTTTGTATCTTAGTCAAGCGAGAAAAGTGTATAAACTGTCATAACAGTACTTTTTTTTTTCTTACGGAAACACATAAAACCTGTCTGATATTTCTAAATCTTGCAAGATAAAACATTTATACAGATCTAATTTTGTATGGGATACAATGAGCTATTTACCCAGGTAAAAGAATCAATAGAAACTAATGACAATTTTCAGAAATCTAACATGGTTTTTCAAAGATTTCTTAGAAATTGGTCTTCTAATTTTTTCCGAAAAAAGATTTTGCTTATGAAAATATATCCCTGGGTTTTGGTTATCATACATTAAAAACTGCAGGTCTTTATCTTGTTCCTATAAAAAGTTATTCAAAAAAAAAACATTCGATTGTCTTAAACTCTGACTCAATAATTTCTTAAAGTGACTTATTAATGTAATGAGAAGACAAAAATTATCGGCCAACGCTCAAGTCATTATGACAACGTTCAACTATATTCTCATATTTAATACCCATTTTATTCTATGGATAAAATACTACGTATTTTTCACGTACTTGATCTAATTAATTCTTAATCACTTCATGAAGTATTGCAGCTAAGATAATGAATTTTTTTATTCAAAAATAATTAGAAACATAACTTCAAGTAAATTGATTGTGCGTGATTATACATAATTACTAGCTTCAATACTTGTTCGAGCAAAAACTTGATTAATTCTTTCCTGTGGGATTTTATCTGTCAAAAATCATCATTTTTTGACATGCCCTCTATTTTCTTATATTATATTTATTTGATTGAAGTGCATTCAACCGTATTTTAATAAAGTATAAAAATTTTATGAAAATATTAGATTTGAAAGTTGATTAAAATTTCTATTGAAATTATTTCATTGAATTTGAATGTAATTATAGAATAATACGTACATATCCGAGAACTCATGTTCTAATAATTTTTTTTTTGTTTTTATCTATAGAATGATGTTTTATTAATATTATGTAGAATAAATAGAATAATATTTTTTTTTTCTTCTTATCATACCGATGGCCAATATTTCCAGCATTTCCATGAAAAAAAACTAATGTTTCACGTTCATTTGTTCGATTAATTTGTTTAATTAAATATCCATGTAATTTTTCATTATCAGGTGTTTCAATTGTTATTGTTTCATATGGCATATGAAATACATCAGGTGTTTGAACAATTGTTCGTGCTGTATCGGGTTCATTCGGTTGATAAAGTAAAGCATCTTGAAAACCATACAATGAAGCTGAACACAAAAAAAAAAAATAAAAAATGTTTTTTGATTTGTTTATTTTTGAAATTACATACATATTTGTTGTTGTGCATTAGTAAAAAAACTATTTACCGATTGCATGAAGTTCATTTAAATAAAAAATAAAAGAAATCTATAAATATATATATTAATTGATTATTATTTTTTTTTTCAATAGAATAAATGAATATTTCATGAATTATATTTGAAAGAGAAAGAAGAAAAAAAAACAAGATTTTTCATATTTCAATTTCATCCGAAATAATAGTTTTTATACAATCGAACAAAAAAAATACATATTTATAAATATTGTTTAGGCACGTTGTGGTCTTTCCGGAATTAATGATGAAAAAAATGTTGATATAGCTGTGAATAAAAGACGTGATGTTGTTATTTGATTTTCACCAACAGAACCAGGCGGAGGTGGCGGAGGCTAAATATAATAAAAGAAAAAAACAAAAACATATTGATTCTGTTTAATGATAGTTCTATTCAAAAAATTAATACGTATATTTCCTTTGAAATATAAATTCATTTCTACTAGAACTCCTCCTTAGAGTGAAAAAAAAAGTAGAATGATCTGATGTAAGGGGATGTTGCTATTTATTAAAAAACCATTTCTGCTTGAAATGGAACAATTCTTCGATTTTAGGGGACAATTATCCAGTCCTCTATGACATAGACATGGAGTCCGTTGGGTTCAAAAGTTTTGGACACGGACGCGGTTTGTTACATGTTTTTCATATTTGGACCCAAACTGTACTTCTTATCTCAACGAAACTTTTCTGTCTGACGAGGAAAGTCCACCAACGGGTTAATCACTTTTCAACCGGTAGTATGTGTATCTCAATGGGCTATCAACACTATGAAAAGAGTTGAAGCTTCTGCCAGATTGTATTTTTAAATACAATCCCGTAGTCCCGCTCAAGAACATTGATTTTCGAATTTTAACTTGAAACAAACCTTAATGAGAATAGTTAATCAGAAAAGTATTAGACCATTCGATGTGTACCTATCCCGAAATAAAAACATGGAATCTACGAGTGTATATGAGCAATGTAAAGGATTCGCTTTTATCATGATTGGATCTTGCCACAGGAAAATCAGTGTATCTGAAGGAAGGTCACGACATTGTATTGAAAAATGCAATATGTCAACAGCAATAATCTATGAACTCTATTATGATCTACATCTTCGTTAGATGTGGTCATAAGGATTTTCTCTTCTTTTCTATAGGATTATACATATGTACTTATGTTCTTCTTCTTTCATATATATTGGAATTTTTTCTTTCTTTGTTCATCTTTTATAGGATTTTCCAGAGCTTGTCATCACTCTATCTATATACAATTATAGAAATAAAGTAGAAGTGGAATTAAGATCTCACAAGCTCGAACTCTTTTCAGGATATTTATAACACATTAGTGTTTACATGATACACATATTTCTGGTTCAAAAATAATTAATTAACATGAGTCTTCAAATCGTTTCGAAGATGTGAGATACTGATTTATATTTTTACTAACTAACACAATCTTGATGATAATCTAGATAATCAAAAATATGTTTTACATACACGTTGATGCTCAATATCATTTTGATTTTGAGCTTCATTTGCTACTACTTCTGGTTCGACTTCATCTTCTCCTCCTTGTTCGCCATCATTTCCAGCAGCAGCAGGAACAGCAGCAGCAGCAGCTTGTTCAGGAACAATAGGTGCTGGTGGTACTTGTACTGCACGTCGACGTCTATGTATAGATAAATAACCACGACAATGTCTAAATGAAAAAATATATATATATATTAGTTTATGAAAAAAAAATTCAATAACACTTACAAATAGAGAAGAACAAAAATAACAAAAACAACAAGAAAACGACTGAATGTTGAATAAAAATAAATAATCGAGCAGAGTACAAATAATTCAACTAACATATTCAATACTCCTAATAGATCATTCTCTTGTTCAAGGTCATTATTATTATTATTATTATTATTATTATTATTTCCTGCTGCTGGTTGTTGGACTGCCGCTGGTGGAGGAGTAGTATTTGTATCAGTAGAAGTTGATTGTTGTGTTGAAGTAGTTGTAATTGTTGATGAAGGTATTACTGTTCTTTGATAGGCAAGTAAATTTTGACTAAATTGAACAAATATTATTTATCGATTTTTGTTTTATTTATACTTACTACATTTGATAATGTGTATAACAATATTGTAAATAAGCTTGACTTTCATAATTACATATTGGTGGATTTGCATTTGGATTAGATATAAATCTAAATAAAGACAAATTAATTAATTAATTAATTAATTAATTAATTATTAATAAGAATAAAATTAATATACTGTTGAAGTTGTTGTTGATATCTATATAATTCTTCTAAATACTGTTCATAAGTATTTGAATGTGGAGATGTAATTAACTTTTCAGAAGACGAAGACTGTTGCTGTTGTTGTTGTTCTGTAACAATAGAAGGTGTTTGTACTGTTGTTGGTTGTTGAATTCTTGGTGTCTGAAATATAATTAAATTTATTAGCAAAAAAAAAAACAGATTATTGTTAACAACATACAGATGCATTTTTATCCGAATCAAGAACAAGATGAACCATAAATGATGATCCTGATGTTGACTAAAAATATTCATATAAGTATATCAAAATATCTATTATATAAAAAAAAAACAACATCTCGATATCTCAGACATATGTAATATAATACTCTTTTTTAATGATCATGACAATCAATTAACACTTTTCAAGTTCTCTTTTATTCATTTTTACTATCATAAAATAAAACTTGTTCGATGTGTTAAAATTGAAGAAAAAAAAGAATTTTTTTTTTTTTTTGATAATTATTCTCAATCTAACAGATATTAGAAAATAAATATTTTTAGATTATTGACAAGATCTATCGAGTGAAGTGTAGCAAGATTGATGGTGGAGTTCATTTTCTCATAGCAGAAAAACACTAAAAGGAATTAACAAGGAAACGGCTCCAACTGACACAACCATCGTTTAAACTCATATTGAACTCACAGACAGGTTTAAGTGAGACTAGCAAAAATCCAAAAGAATTTGTCCTCATGAGCGGATTACTGAATTATTGGTCATAGCTGGGTGCCGAAAGTCAATGGGAATGAATCCTTTTTGGTCTTTGCTATTCTCATTGAGACCTGCCTGTAGATCCAATATGAACTCAAACGGCAGATCTCTCATAAGTATAGACAAGAATCTTGCGTGAATTCAATATTACGCATCCGAGTTCAGTTGAACTCGTGCTTGAAAAATTTCTTTGTTTTTTCAAATAAATTTATTAGATAAAAAAAGTTTGAAACAATATAGTAATATACTTAGAATCCAGAAGGAAACAGTGGACTTCAGAAGATTTAGAAATTACATGAAATTTCTGTAACATGCAAAAAAAAAACAACATCTATCATATAGAGTTTACCAAAGAATTTCTTGTTTCTTAGAATTCTCTCTCGTAGTACATCTATAACTACAGTCTTTTAAGGTGATGCAAATAATATTGAAAAGATGATTCTACATATCAAAGACATTTTAAACATTTGAGAGCGTACATATTTTTTTACGACATTTTCTATTATATTTTCTCTTGTTTAATAAAACCAATAAATATATATAACACCCATAACTCAAAATTTTGTATAAAAAAGTTTGTCATGGATAGATATGAATAGTAAATAACAAATCTAAATTCATACTAAGAAAACAACATGTTCATTATTGACGAACGAAGCTAATCATTTATCGGGTGATAGACAACCGCGAGTGATACAAACAAAAGAGATTGAAATTTTACGTAATATTGATATTAACTTGACGAAACATTTCACTATAGAATAAACAATTTTATTAAAAACTATTCAAATAGTTAATATTTTATTTTATTGAGTTCAAATGAGCTTGAAATATTTTTTCTGCAGTTCTACTAAATAATCAAAATTCACATATCTGTTAAAAGAAGATCATCAAAAAAAATTTCGATAAGAATTATTCTTATTGAAAATTAGCTGGCAGCATTAGATCATAATGGGTATGGGCACTTTTGTATTTCATTTTATCATTACTTAATATGTTGTATTTAGAAAAAAACAAAATATACTACAAGATGCAGCGTGAAAAGTAGAGACCTGCACAATGTCAATTAAATTTTAGCATAAGAAATTTTTTGACTTGCAGGTTTTGTTCTCTAATAGTTAATGCACAAGTCAATGTATTTTGAAGATTCCAACAATATCTATGAACCTGAAAGGATTTTCTGTAATTTCGTCAATTCTCCAGTGTAATAAATGATAAAAATCAAGTATGTAGTAATCATTAAAAATTTAAATATGATAGAAATTAAAAGATGAATCTTTTCACAAAAATTTTGTTATAAAATAATTTGAAAAATATTAAGATTGTTATTGATTCTAATTCGTATGTATAAAATTATTCTTACTTTAATAAATATTTGATTAAGTACACCGGTATCATCAAGAAGTTTACCAGAGAAAATTAATCGTTGATCTTTAGGTATCTATAAATTATAATAAAAAAAAAAAATTTAACTCAAAAAACAAAAATTTCCTACTGGTTTAGTTGGATGATTCAATGTTATTTTTTGTTTGAGATCAAGAACAGTTAATAATGGTGAGATTTCCAGAACAAAATCTGCATATTTATTATTTGTCGTACGAATAATTAATTTAATTGATTCACTTGACGATGCCATTAGAAGATGAATATGTTTTTTTTGTATATGTGTATTTTGTTGTAAATGGAAATTAAGTAAAAATAAACATACATATCAACCTACACACACAGGTGGTTGATTTTCTATTGATGACTTTATTCAACCAATCATAAATAAATAGATAGAGGAGGTTTTTTTTTCTAGAGGGCATTACTATAGTTAAATATGAGTCATTTGATTATTGATAGATAGAAAAGATAGTTAGATCTATATTTGTTTTGTTACGTTCTACCGATATTTAAGAAAATACCAATCGATAAGTTTTTAGTAGTATTTCTTATCTTTCTTCTTTTCTCCCTTTTCGATCATAGTTTTCTTCATCGTCTATTTTCTTCTAATGATAAAAAAACGTAGCAAGAAAAGAACACCGTGACATTTACAAACATAGAAGTCTCAATGTCAGAGAGTTGACTGTTTTTTTTTTTGCTGTTTCAATAAGAAAATTATCATTAAAAAATAAATGATGATAGAAAAAAACTAAATTTTTATTTCTATTTAGATGAATCATATGCGAAAAATTGTCAGTAAAAAAAAGCGAAGATATCAACAAGATGGTTTTGATCTTGATTTATCATGTAAATAGAAATGATTTTTTTTTTATTTTATTAAGTTTAATAATTATCTATTTTATTAGATATTCGACCAAATATTATTGCTATGGGATATCCAGCTCAAAGTTATGAAGGAGTTTTTAGAAATAATATTTGTGATGTTAGCCGGTATAAAATAATAAAATTTAGTTTATCTATTTCATTTTTTCTTTTTTCGTCATTAGATTTTTATCGTCAAAACATGGCGATAAATTTTATGTATATAATTTGTAAGAATTTTAATGAATTTAAAAAATATCAAACGAAATATTTTTTTTTTTTTATAAATAGATGTGTAGAGAGTGAACGTCAATATGATGGATCATGTTTTAATAATAATGTATGTGCAGATTTTAGCTTTGAAGATCATAATCCACCATCAATGAAAATGATTTTGGCTTTTTGTCAACATGTTAAAACACAATTAAATTTAATGACTGATAGAACAATTGTTATACATTGTAAAGCAGGAAAAGTAAGTTGATTTCATATATGATTATAGTCTTTTTTTTTAGTAAAGTTAAAATTTCAGATAACTATATAACAAATAGAGAAGTTTTATTTTAACCTCGTAGAAAACTATTGCAGAATTTATTTACATTAAATTAAAAAAAAAAAGTCTTAAATACTCGTAATTTCGATATGATTTATAAATGCCATTGAAAATTTAACTATAAGTTTTATTTCCAATTCTTCAGAACTCGTAATATTTTTGTTTTTTTAACCTCATATATCTCTAATGTTATTAGACATGCAAAAATCTATTTGTTATATTAATTCATCGGAAGAATGTTTTGTTCGTGTCTAAAAATAAGCATTTATCCTTTCTATTACTAATTTAAAAGTCCATAAATATTAGATTTTATCACGATCATATAGAATGACATGCAAGCAATTATCATTCGGAATTATTATTGTCATATTAAATTTAAAAATATTAGAAAATTTTTGACGATTGATAATAAATAAATAAATTTTAATGATCTTTTTTTTGTATTGTCATTGCTCAATGGACTACATATACAATAAATATAAGGTCATAATATTATTCATCATTTTCCAATGGATACAGTTCTAAATGGCGCCATTTAACGTTCCCTAATCAGGAATAACGGATTATAGGCCCAAGAGAAATGATAAAAAAATGTCGATTGTTTTTTAATGACTGCAGCTGACGATCGGAATGATCGTTCCGAGCAATAAACTTTAATGTGTATTCTGCATGAATATGAAGATACAAAAAAAAAAAAGTTTTATTAGGAAATAACAAAGATATGGAAAAATATTTAATAAAAAAACTTAAAAATTGAGAAAACTGCGTTTTGAATCATTTTTTAATGGAAGATCATAGATAATGTAGCATCCACTCATATTTTATGCTCTTTAAAATAGTCTTCTGAGATTTGAAACCTTCATTAATTATTAAAATCAAAAATATGTTGATGTCAAACAATGGTACCTATAGGGCGAGGTTACCCTGCCCTGAACAGAATAGAGTAAAGTAACGTCTTATACTCTGAGACCTGTCAAATCAGATATTTGAATTTTAATTCTGAAAAGGAGATGAATTTGATATAGAAAAAAAGGTAATATAGAACATAAATGTCGGTTTAGCATTAAGTAAATACTAAGAATACATAAAAAAGATTCGATTATTCAGTCAGTATAATTTCAAAATAGGCATAACTTATTCTTATTTCTAATATATTCTATGTTAATAACGACTGGATCGAAAATTTTATGACACAATGTTAGCTTATAGACTTTGAAACTTTCTTGAGATCAATGAAATGATCTTTTCAAAAGGCATATGGAAAATTTCTCCATACACTTTCATTTTTTACAATTCGAAAATAAATATTAACACTTTTATTAATAGATCAGCTTGTTGGTATTTACCATGCCTGAATTTAAAATATTTATAACTCTGAATAAAAAAAGTCAAAGAGAATTTTCTCCTTTTGAAGTTTTTCATATAAACATTTTCTCTTTGAGTAAAAATACTTTCGAAAAGAAACTTATAGAAATTAGCAAAAATCTATTGATTCATTATTAAGTGCACAATATGCTGATTTTAATTAATTTAGGGCCGAACAGGTGTTATGTCTTGTTGTTTTCTTCTTTATTATTATCGAGATGAATTTAATGATCCATTACAAACATTAAGATTCTATGCTCAACAAAGAACATCTAATGAAAAAGGTGTTACTATACCTAGTCAACGTCGTTATGTTGAATATTTTGGTCATTTACTTAATAATCAATTAATATATACACTTAAACAAATTGTTTTTACTGGTCTATTAATAACATATGAACAAAATCAAATTCTTAATTCAGGTTTATCTGAATAAAAAAAAAAAAAAAAAGAAAATTTTTTTTTTTTTTCGTTAGGTATTTCTTATACACTTAGTTCATCAAATCATCGAATTCAATATCAATCATTTGAAATTCCTCTTGAACGTGATACAACTATACATCAAGATTCAATAGCAAATTATTCTGTATTAAATGCAACACATAAACATTTTATTCCATCATCAAATCAACAATGTCAAATACCATTAGAAGAAGATATTTTAATTGAAATTTTTTTAACAAAAACTAAACGTGGAAAACCAGTAATTTAATTTTTATTATTTTAAATGTATCAAAATAATCTTTTTTTTTTTGTTTTTTTTTAAAGGAAAAATTATGTCATTTTTGGTTTAATACATTTTTTCTTGTTGATCCTAAAATGCAATTTATATTAAGTAATTATAATGGAAAACATCCTGAAAGTAATTTAGGTGTACTTAATTCATGTCTTATACCTGAATTTGGACATAAACATTTATATACAATGATAAAAAAAGATATTGATGGATTACATAAAGATAAATTTCATCGATCAGTACCAGCATCATTTGCAGTAAGTTCCTTTCATATAAAGATAATTTTTGTCGAATATTTCCAGTTATGTAACAAAGATTAGTTTAGACACATGTTGTTAATTTTTCATCAAAAACAATGATTTATATCTTTCTTATCAAATTCTTTTTATATAGATTAATATTTTCTGTCTTGAAAAGACCAATTGTTACTCAGACTTCATTAGCAGATTATGCAATTAGTTTATCATTTCGATCTAATGGGTTCTGTGTTGTATTTTAAACATAAAAAAAATCTAAAATTGATTTACAATCGAATAAGACACTTCCTACTACTGGCAAGTTTCTGTAAACAGGTGTTTTAGATCCAAATTATTTTGTTTTGTGCTGCTCTCTATAAAATTTTGCTGGCAATGTTGAAGTCAGTAATCAGCATATAATAATAACTATGTTTCTTTTTTTGTCATTTCGTGAATATATTATGTAAAAATATTCGCGATTTATTTGTTAGTTTAAGATTTTAAATAGAGGTCGCTAGTGAGAAATACATAAGAGAGAAACGTTTCTTCGTCTCTTTGACAACATACCAACTGCAAAAAGCAAAATCGATTTTAATATGCTACAGTATATTCTGTCAGATGTCGCCACATTTTTTCCTATTGGTTAAGCGTTCTCTGTAACGAGAAACTAGATGAAGTAGCTTACCGCCATCCTTAATAATGATGTTTATTTTGTAACTTCACATCTTGAGAGTATAACTACTTCATATATAATACACGCTTATATAGGAAAGAGAAAAGGAAGATCAGCGGGGGTTATGTCAATATCGGCATATTCTCAGTCTATGATTATTTTTGTCGTGTCATCTTTAATAAATAATCAAACCTCAAAAATCTAGCGACAGTAGTTGATGTGGCTGGTACAGACAGTTTGAATGTGTTTATGATAATAAGACGGCATGATTTTGACTGAAATCTAACATTTTTCTAAGAGCTTAAATATAGTCATACACTGAAATACAAAGAAAAATTAAGCAGAAGAGAGCTACAGCTAACCGGCGGTTTGAACAACATGGAAATAGTTAGGTTACTTCCTAGTAGCGAGCTTCGGATCCATCTTTTGTGTAGACCCGTAGCCGAGAACAGCTAAATTTTTAGTAGAGAGACCAGAGTAGGCTCATCCCTTCTAGCGAAAATTTTGAATGTTTTTTTTTCCACTAATATTCGCCATCCTCTGTGTATCTGAACAAATCAGAGATCAAGATTATTAGCTACTCAAAAACACAGTCAACGCATCAATTAGAACATTTGAGCAGTGAGTCAATGAGCTCCCAAGTTCATTGAATTTATTCTGTAGTTGCAGACAAAGGAAAACAAACTATTTTCTATCATGTCTTAGGAGATACCAAATCATGACTGAAAGTTGTTAAAACTTATCGGAAGCTATGAGAAATCATAGAAAATTTCCAGTAATAAGATTAAAAATAAAGTTCTGATTTCTCATAATTTTCCTTCATTTCTGAGTGGTTCCTATCGATTCTCGATAAACAGATAAAAATTGATTTCGAATAGTAGAAATCAGTTAGTTTCATCTCGGTTGTAGATATAGGTGATTGAAGTGAAGAAAATCAAGCGATTTGTATTAACTGATTGATTTAGCAGCCGACGGATTTCGTACTCAATTATTTTCATAGACTTTTATATGGTTAGAATAGTTAAACAATAAGAAAATACTCTATACATTACGATGATATCGAAATCTATGAATATCTCCTTAGTAAAACTCGATCTAAAAGAATTATTGAAGTACAAGGAAAAAACTTTGGACCTCTCTCACAAACTGTGACAAATGTTGATGATATGCAATCATGACCGTATGTCACATATTAATATATGACCTACTTCCTTATTGCATTTCCGGAGCGTTAAGTAACAGGATGGTAAAGAAATATGTCTTCAAAAATAGATAGAATAAAGCAACCTTTCTATATTTAGCAATCATAGTTACATTTTGTTTTACATTTTAATACGATAGAGATGATATTAATAACTTTTCTGATGAAATAAAGTTTAACCGACCATGATCTAATCCGAGAGAATAAAATAAATAAAATCATTATTAAACTAAATATTTAATAAATCTTTTATTATATCTATTTAGGTTTCTGTTCTATTTGATTATATTCCTACAGTGTCTTCAACATCTAGTCAACCTGATTGATCAATGGTAAGTTGAGACAAAAAAAAAATAAAAATATTCATTTATTTCATTTTTTTTTTCATCTAGATTATTGGTAAAAATCTATTGAGTAAAGTGTGTCAACATCTGTGGTTTATTTCTTTTTGTAATAGTAGAAACAAAAAAAAAACAGTAAAGAAACTAAGTATGATTAGATGAATAACGTTTTGAATCATTATATTCAAGTCCACTTACTCAAAAAAAAAAAAATGAAATTTTTGAAATTAATGAAATCTTATGATAATCATTCATTATCTTATAATGAGATCATCATAATAAATCAAAACAAATGATAAATCTATCAATGAATCAAAACGTTCTAGTCATCAAAAATAACCTTCAAAAAAAAACAAAATGTATATTTGTGCTTTATTCAAATAGTGTATTTAATTGAAGTAGTACAGAATATTAAAGATCCAGTATTAATGAAGCAAATTATGATTATTGTGAAACAGCGACTTGTCACATTAGGTTTTTGTTTTGTTTTTCTTTTTTAATTTCTGTTCTATGTTTTTCTTATTTGATGTATTTTCTCATTGTACATAATGTTTAAAACAAAACAAATATGAAATATGTATTTCAAATTTTATTTTATAACTCTGTGTTTTTTTTTTTTGTTTTTTTTTGCTTTGTATTATTCGTCTATTTCTTGAAAAGAAAAACGACGAAAACCAATAAAATATTAAAAGACTTGAATAATTTCCATCATTTTATAGATTGAAATAAACTCTATCTTCAAACTCTCTACCATCAATAATTCTTGAATAATATCAGCAATTGTCTCATATAGAATGACATTATGAATTTCTCTAAGAAACTATCTGATTTTAAATGACTTTTACTTGTCTTGTATTACATAAACAATGAATGTTGTGGAAGAATTTTTCTGAGCTTGAATAGCACTGAGAAGTATTCGATGTTAATATTAGATGGTCTGGAAAGAAATAGTATTCTTTAAAGACTTATAAAGAGTCTGTATTGAATCTATAGCAATCAAAGATTAGATTGATTTGCGTTTGTTTTTTTTGGGATCGAATCGATCGTAATTCTGATAATAACTTTGAAGAATTCCTTCAAAATCTTCACCACTTTGTTATTTTATCAAGGATAAAAAGAAAAGCCTTTCAAAAAAAAAATATCTAAGCATTTCTATGGGTTTTCTCATCTTATTCGGATGTCAACATAAGCAAAAATAGTTCTATAGAATATATTCTTACAAGTGTTTATACTCAAGAAATTTCATAGTAATGAATATTCTTAATACAAAATACCTAAAAAAATAGATGAAAAATAATCAATTAAATAGAAAAGATAAAATAACTATTAAGATTCAAGCATATGATTTCATTGAAATGTTCTTTTTGTTTTTCGACAAAAATTTGAATGTTTTTGACCTATTATCAGGTATTTGTCATGCAATACCTCGTTCTATGGCGTGATCACCGTTTTTTTTTAAATTCTTTTCTTAGTACTGTGTGGAGAACGTAAAATGTCCTTTTGTATCTTACATTGTCATGTGTATTTTAAGGTGAATAAGGTTATTATGGTGTGTTCTCTTGGATCAATAAACCTCTGTAAAGAAATGCATCTGTCGATACACATAATTATTTATCTTATCCTTTTCTTTTTTTTTCATATTTCGTATGACTATGGTAAGACATTTTCTATTGGATGATAATAGCATAAATCTAAAGTCTAACAAAAAAAATGACCTGAGTTCCATCTTATATATATATATATAGTTTAGAAAAATAAAACAAATTTTATTTTTCATATTATCTATATATAAAAAAAACAATGTTGAAATTCTTGATAATAATCGGCTGTTTTTTATTGAATTTTTCAATAGCTGAAGTAAGAATTATAATATAAATTTTTGATTATTTTAGTATTTATTTATTGTTTTGTTTTGCTAAAATCATAGGGTCAACATTGTATATGGTATGGACAATGTGGAACTAATTCACTCGGTAAAATAACTAATTGTTATTACAATGGTACAGCAAAATTATTAACAAATGAAACAGCATTGAAGTCATTAGAAATCGCTTGTGGTATGATGTATAAAGGTTAGAGTATATAGATTGAGATTCAATTATACTTAAACATAAGAAAATTGAATATACTCTAACTTTTCATGTTAATATTTATTTTTTATTTCAATCTGAATTTGAAAGATGCTAAACTTCAATAATATTTCATTATTGTTCTTTTCACAAATTTTACAAGGTATTTTTGAGTTGATAGTAACCGCTTATTTTCTTTCGTGTTCTTTGATACTAAAAAAGATAAGTACTGGTTAAACTCGATGGCCTTTTTTGAGTTCAAGATCATATGTTGCGCGTCCTTCTGGACCCGGTCGGATCCAAAGTTTTATTTTTTTTTTGGACTCAGTTACACATTTTTGTGAATCCGCTGCTATCCAGATGAGAAATACAGCAACAAGATATAACTGTACTTAATCCTTCACTTGTTCATAGACACGAAGGGTGCCAAGTATTGATGGGAAAAACCTTGGATTCGGGTCCGAGTCCACAAAAAACGTGAACCTACAGCTTCTCTCTATAGAATGAGATATCTCCGAGCTCTCTGATTAAGATTTACAGGCATCACTAAAGTCGTTATTTTTTACTTTTGTAGAAAAATCATGTTTTGTTTTTTTTGACCTTCAATAAAATTGCTGTATCTCAGTTGAAAAACGATTGAATTTATTTATTTTTTCAGGTCCAAATAGTACATATACTTGTTGTGCACCTGATCAAATAGCTACAATAGCAAATCAATTTGGTATGGCAAAATTAATGTTAGGACGTTGTCCATCATGTTATTATAATTTTCGTTCATTATTTTGTGGTATGACATGTAGTGCTGATCAAAGTCGTTTTATAAGTATTATAGAAACTGGTAATAGTACATTATATCCTGGACGAACAACAGTTGAAGCAATTAATTATACAATAGCTAATGATTTTGGTGAACGAATACTTAATTCATGCAGGTTAATAATTTCTTTTTTTTTGTTTTATATAACTTCTATTTATTTTTTTTGTTTTAGAGATGTTTTATATCCTGGTGGTAATCAACATTCTCTTGATACAATGTGTGGTCGACCATATGATCAATGTACAAAAGAATCATTTATGAAATATTTAGGTGAAGATAATCCACAAGTACCATTTCCAATACATATATTATTTTCAAATGAAACAACTGAAGAAAATAATTATTATAATCAAACAACATTTTTATGTAATGAACCAATAATATCAACATATGAAAATAAAACAGCTTGTAGTTGTTTAGTATGTATAAAAAGGAAATTTTTTTATTATTATGAAAATAGAAGAATAATTTAATATTTAGGATTGTCCAAAATCTTGTAATCCATTACCACCAGATGTTCCAGATAAAAAATTTCAAATTTTTAATATTGATGGATGGCTTGTAATTGCTATTATAGTAATAATAATTTTCTTAATAAGTTTTTTTCTAACAATATTTATCATATCAAAATTCCGAAAATCTCGAATAAATCAATATAGATTTACAGGTAAAGATAAACAGAGTTTTTTTTTTTTTTTTGTAATGATAAAATTTTATTGTATATAGAAGTAATGACTTTAATAGAAGATTTACCGACTCAACAAAAATCAGTCGGATGTGTAGTAAATATTCGAAAACGTACTGAACGATTTTTTGAACGAATTTTTTTTCGGTAAATATTTTCTTCGATGATATTTTTAAATTAAATTAAATTTCTTTTTTTTTGTTCCAGTTTAGGTCTTTTTTGTACACAACATCCATATATTGTTTTAATTATTGGTTTAATAATAATTACAATTCTTTCATGTGGTTTAATTAAATTTAAAGTAACAACTGATCCAGTACAATTATGGTCAGCTAAAACAAGTATGGCACGACAACAAAAAGAATATTTTGATAAACATTTTAGGTAGAAATTTTTATTTTAATAAATAAAAAATATTTTGTATTTAATTAGACCATTTTATCGAACTACACAATTAATTATTGTACCTGATAATCAATCATTTATTACACATTATTATTTATCACCACCAGCACCACTTAGTGAATATACATTAGGACCTGCATTTGAAATTGGATTTTTATCACGTGTATTTGATCTTCAAACTGAAATACTTTCACTTACAGCAGAATTAAGTGAAACAAATCAAACAGTTAGTTTATCTGATATATGTTTTAAACCATTAGAACCTGATAATGAAAATTGTACTGTTTTTTCACTTCTTCAATATTATCAAAATTCAAAAGAAAATTTATATAAACATATTGGTGATGATTTTTTTACTTATTTTGATTATGCAACACATTTTATGGCTTGTTCACAAGCACCAACATTAACACGAGATAATCCATTAGGTTTATCATGTTTTGGAGATTTTGGTGGAACAATTAATCCATTTATGATACTTGGAAATTATACAGATGCAACATATGCTAATGCAACAGCTATTGTTATTACTATTGTTATTGAAAATTCTAATGATCCAGAAAAAATTCAATTAGGTTTGTTTATTTTTATTTTCTTATGGATTGTTTATTTTATTTTTTGTCGGTTTAGCTGAAGCATGGGAAAAAGTTTTTCTTGATTATATGAAAAATTTTACTGAAACTCAAAAATTATTACGTGAATCTGGTAATTGGAATGAAACAGTTAATTTTACGGTTTATTATAGTGCTGAACGTTCTATTCAAGATGAATTAAATCGTCAAAGTCGTTCGGATATATTAACAATTGTTATATCTTATACAGTTATGTTTCTTTATGTAACATTAACACTTGGTCATATTCGTTCATGGCGTACATGTTTAATTGATTTAAAAATTTCTGTTGGATTTATTGGTGTACTTTTTGTTTTATTATCAGTTATGAGTTCAATTGGATTTTATTCTTATTGCGGTGTTGCTGGTACTTTAATTATATTTGAAGTTATACCATT